AGTGAAGCGTCAACTCTGCTTCCTCCAAATATTTTTAACATGTTGCATATTTGAGAAGAAATGTTATTTATTAACGAATAGCATTTATATGACAAATAATCACACTTCGTACTAATATTATAAATGCGAAAGTTTAGATGGATAGATGGATGTTTGTTAGAGTTTGTAGCTTAAACGGCTGAACGGATTTCGACGAAAATTGGTGTGGATGTAGAGGATAGTCTGGAAGAACACATAGGCTACTCACTTTTGTTTATTTTAATTCCACGCGGACGCAGTCGCGGGCGAAAGCTAGTGTGATCATAAATGTACTTCATTCCTCTTTGTAAATCGCTCTTTTCTTAGTCAATGAGTACAAGAAAGTAAATTGGACGCTCCACAGGCACTTTTAAGTGAACCTGAGTCGAGTTGCTAACGATCTCCACTTAGATAACAATATCTTTGCAAGTCGTGATCACTTAAAAGCAGGCGCACACCATTGACTAAACTATTGTACAAACGGTTGTGCGATTGTCGATTGTTTCGCAGCCCATTCAACTGTTTAGTTACACAACTGAAAATCGAATAGTGTGTGCACCTCCATAGCAAAAGCAAAACTAAACAGTTGTGCGATAGTTAAGTAAAAAGTGTGGTTCAGGTTCTATTTAAATTAAACATTACATTTATTGCAAAAAAAAAAATGTTGTCTCTGAAATATTTTTTGTTAATAAGAACTTTTTCGTAAATCTCTTGATGTATTAATACTACATAAAATTATTCTTAATTTCAATAATTTATCATACAGCGAAATCTTTTTCATAGACGTATTCCTCATTACTTGCGGAAATATTAATTAATTGGAGGCTTAAAACTCGCAACATCTCATTAGGGGAGTTACGAAATACGGTAATATCACGAGGATTCGATACTTACCTCTAGCGATCCATTTTGTGTAGCACAAGATAATTGATGATTAAGTCAATTTTAACCTACCCTTATTACTTGCCGATTAATTAAAGAAAGATTCTTCCGTAACGATTCCGGTATAAATATACTGATCGAAATATATTAAGCGAATAAAATTCCCAATCTTTTATACCTCGGCTTTTTCTAAAAGGCAGAAATCTCTGCCAATCGTAGACCAAAAACATATTAAGGCTATTTAGGGCCTTTTCCACTAAATTTTAAATTGTCTTATAGCTATCCGTGTGTAAAATATGTGTTGGAAATATCGGATTCATTCCCTTATCTGACTGATTATTTTTAAGCTATTTGAGGTTTTTTCAGCCAGTAGTAGGATAGGCTCTTAGTCTTGCTGCAACAAAGCGAATCTAAAACATTATATTTATTTCTCTTATGAATATATTTGAAATGATATTTTATATATTGATACTTCTTGCAGGAAATAAGATAGACGTCGCGATCGTGTTTGAAATCCCCCGGGTAAAATTGAATATTTTGATGTGAATTTTATCTTGCTTGAACGTTTCATTGTCTCTCAAATGTACCTTTAACTTAGTTCAGGTAAACTTACAAGTATAAGTTGAAGCAAGTCAAGATATGCAAATAAGTAAATTGCTACAACACGTATAGTTGGATTTAAAAAAATGAAACTGACTAACAAAATAATGTGAACATCTTCGAACGTTAGAAAACTTCTTTCTTGTATTGCTTTTTTGTATATCTGTATTTAATGATTATTCTTATTTCTGAGTTGGTTACATAAAACCTCCTTGAAGTCGATGAAAACTAGAATAAAACACTATATAACAATTTAGTATTATTTTTTTTAACTTATAACTTTGCAATTTATCTTTCAAACTATTTAGTCCCGTATCTTTATTTAAAACTATTAATAGAATTAACAAAAGACCTGTATCGCAATTTTAATTTTGTCAGATTTTCCTAGATGAGCGATTCAGTGGAGGGCTTAAATTTAATTAACTTGGAGCGTCTTACATCGAGATAAAACCAACAAAGAGGTTTTGTAAACTTTAAGCATGAAAGGGGATGGATGTAAAAGTTTCAAAGCCGATTTAAAACTACACACTATTAGGTAAAAGATAATTAAGTTTTACGAAACTAATTTTAGTTTTAAAAAGTACGTTATTCTATTGTTTTCTTATTTTAATATTACTCTAATAGTCAAATATTGTAGACTTTTAAACGCATTTATTTTCGCAAACTCATTTTAACTCGTATCATTTTTGGGTTTCTTAGTTTATTAAAAACTAATGTTGTTTACTTTTTATTTGTGTTTTGTTTTTACTGACAATAACTACCTTTTAGTCTCAACCTCTTTGGACGTTTTTTCATCCTGTCTACCCTAGTTTCGTTAACATTATCAAATAAAACCCGAGTCAAATCCATTTTGTACAAAGTTCATTATGATCTCAATTATAAATGAAGCTCATAAGATTCGTTTGCAACTTTATCTGTTGCTTGTTTTTGAAGATTTGTAATTTTTCTTGTCCTATTTACTTCTTAACATAAAAACTTTACCTATCCCCCGTAATAAATGACTGGAGTTCAAACATTTCTTTATCTCATTACTGTTTTAGAATCAAATGTTTTTTTTTTATTTTAATACGAGCTGTTGCCCGCGACTTCGTCCGCGTGGTATTAGAAAACTAAATTAATGAATACCACGGGAACCGTAACTTATCCCGGAATAAAAAGTAGCCTTAGTAGTAGTAGTGTGTTCTTCCAGACTATGCTCTAAACCTGTTCCAAATTTCTGGGAGATCCGTTCAGCCGTTTAGGCTACAAACGCTAACAAACATCCATCCATCCATCCATCAAAATTTTCGCATTTATAATATTAGTAAGATTAAATGCAAAATTTCATTTGTCTTTCAAACTGGTAGTTTTTAAAACCTTGAATATCAAATGTTTCAAAAACCACACAATTCCAGAATGTTCTATACCGAACCTTTTGCTGGCACTACCAGTTACAAGTTTCAAGGCCATTCCGATTGTTAATACCTCATTCTGATAGAAAGCCATCATACAGTCCTACAAGTAGTAAGAAAATGTGCAAGATAAAACACTTTTTCCTCGCCTCTTACTGCACTGAATAATCCAATCCACTGAAAGGAAAAAATTGTTTTTAAATGAATTTAAAAATGACCATTGGGTCATCGTGTTGGGATGTAAAAGTGAAGTTTGTTTACGATATTTATTAACCTTTGACTAAACTATCGCACACTGTTTAGTAGCGCTTTGTGCTTATATGGAGGTGCGCATACTCGATTATTATTGAGCAACTGAACAGTTGCTGGGCTGCGAAACAATCGACAATCGCACAACAGTTATGTGATAGTTAAATTGGGCGCCTGCTCAAAGTGTCGGTTTAATTAAATTGTAAATGCAACATATTTTGAAACACAATTTACGTGTACGGGTACATTGTATTGATCAGTTCACGACCTTCGCATCCAGTTGACACGCGCTGTCGTCGACCAAGCCCGGGCCCACAAATCAATGTTAATGTACCAACTTCCTGCAATCAGCTACCGTCCAAGGAACGCCCATAGTGTTTATCCTCGACAGTGAATAGTTACTTTTATAATGCTATGCTCGCGACTTCACCGGGAAATTAAAAATGTAGCCTATGTTACTGATAATATAGCTTTTTACTAGTGAAAGTATTTTTTAATTTGGCTCAGTAGTTTTTGGAGTTATTTTAATACATACAAAAATACCAATCTTTCCTAATCATAGGTATTAGTGATTTCAAATCAGCACGATACTAAATTTTTGGAATTTCTAAAAATCCGTTTATTCGATTTTTAATCAATGATTACAGCTTTATAAATAAACGCAGTATAAAGTTAAACTTAGGAATAAACTGCGTATAATCAAATATTCGTACAAAATACCGCGTTTATAAATATGGCTGTTAGTTTTTATGTCAGTTTCTATAACGCGGATTCAAGGTGACAATTTGTACCATTGTAATAAAAACAATACTATTAACGTAATTTGCAATCATGTAATTAATTTTTTACCCTACAATGAATGTATACATTACTTACAATAATTCTTTTGTAAATTATACATTATTTCATGGTATTGTACACGAGCTGTCGCCCGCAAACTTCGTTAGCGCAAATTTGGCCAACCCGTTACGCCATTTTGACAGCGCGGAATTTTAAAAAAGTAGCCTGTAATATGCCCGTCTATGTCAGCTACCTTTCAGTGAAAGTGCTGTCGAAATCGGCCCAGACAGACAAAAAAAAATTTAAAGCGATTTTCGTTATCAGCTCCGCAAATACATCATCTTCCCGAAATCTGATTACAAACAGAAATGAAATTACAAACACTTCAATTTTGTTATATGTATAGATTAAAAATAATGATTTTAATGCTCCGTTAACGTAGCAATGTTGACAAATAACATAAATGGTACACTTAAATTCATTTATTTACGTACAAACGGGTTATGAAATATTGCTAGGTATTAAAAAATTTCAGAACTGTACTTATGAAAAAATTAAAACACGTTCGTTAGGCGGCTACAGTCCTACAGTCCCTCGCGACTCACGTGCAGTAATTAAAATTAAGGACCCTTTTAAATATTAAAAACGACTGCGAATATTACAAAATATGCTGTACTTATTTTTAATTAATACGGATTATGTAAACATGCAAACAATGTCGGGTTTAATTCTAGTATTTATTACTTTTATTTTTTTTTGCATTTACATTCTGTAAATACCGATGGATGTAGAAAGGATCGTTACCTTCTTTTCTGTATTTCTAATTTTAAAACAGAATCCTGGTTTGTATTAAGATTTTATTAACTAACTAGCTTTCGCCCGCGACTCCGTCCGCGTGTAGTTAAAAATCTACATATGTACCAAATTCCATCAAAAACTATTCAACCGTTTAGGCTACAAACTCTAACAAACATCCATCCATCTAAACTTTCGGATTCGGAGTAATTATTGAGATAGTAAGATTAAATTTATTCTGGTCTTTTCTATGGATTTAGACAAGGAAAATAAAAACAAATTAAGTTAAAGATAGTGCTTTATTCATTACAGAATCTATACAGTATTTACCAAATACAAAAAGTCAACAATTTTTTAAAAAGAAAGCCAAATGAGAGGCAACTCATTACGACTGACAAATAAGGGCTGTGCCACACCTGCGAAGGAATCAGCGACTTTACCGAGTATTTCATATCATTATCAGTCCATACTTAACGCCTAATAATCGTTTTAAATTATTTAGTCACTGTTTTAAATGCGGTAACTATTAACAAATAAATAAGGTAACTTAGAAATAAGGCCACATTCACATTAAATTCGCGAGCGCTTTGGTGCAATTAAAATATTCTTCCGCTTTGGCATGATTGTCTTTGGTATAACAGAGATAAAATTAAAAAGACTGCAATGGTTATTAAGTCGCGTCATATAGTAAAAGATAATCCAAGCCATCATAAACAAAAAATTCTCAACCTGTTATAATCTGAGATTTTTTAAATTTAAAAATGGATATGAAAGTACCAATGATTATTCAATTTATTTGCAGTAATGACTGATAACGCGCTTTTAGTGTGAATGGGCCCTAACAGCAGACACAGACGATCTAAGAGAGGACGATTTAAGCTTGGTGTGTCTACATCTTTTTGCGGATGTTGCTTACATTATAAATGAAAACAGTCTATTTACATTGTTCAACTACCAGCAAATTATTCCAACTTTTTTACCTATTTCTACCTAATTTTCTTTTTAGATTTGTAAATGATGTGAAGAAAAAAAAAAACAGCTTCGTACTATTTGATACGGTGTTGTGTCCAAAGATTTTTTTTTGTATACATACATCTACGTCCTACTGTTGTTACTGATGTTAATCTAATTGTAATTATTGAATTAACTAAATTGCAAGCAACAACCGCATAATATCCTCTTCACACAGCGTTCCCCGCGCTGTGCATTCCGTTGACGGTCAATGGAATGGTGTTAAACTCATCTTCCAAGTCTTCAGTTTTTCTAAATAAAATACAAAAGTATATTAACATAAAACTATGTAAAAAAATTGTTACATTCGAATTAGTTATTCTGCAATAATGAGATGCCACACGGATAGTGTCGCAGCTGGATGAAGCTTATACTTTCTAGTTAGCTAGCTTTTGCCCACGACTTCGTGCGCGTGGAATTAAAAAACAAAAGTAGCCTATAAGTTCATCCAGACTTTCAACTACATCTATGCCAAATTTCACTTTGATCAGTCCAGTAGTTAGACTACAAACTAACAAACTTCAATACATCTAAATTTTCGCATTTATTTTAGTGATTTGTATGAATCTTACCGTTTCCTGTATTTGTATATGATGAGCACGATGAAAGCGTTGCCGATAAACAGCGCCGCTATCAACAGCGACGGGATCACGATGTCTGCACAATAAAAATATATTAATACTACCTTTCGTCCGAGACTCCGTCTGCGTGGTAATAAAAAAACAAAACCAAGTAGCCTATGTGTTCTTCCAGACTATCCTCTATATCCATACCAAATGTCATTGTAACCTTTTCAGCAGTTTAGGCTACAAACTCTACCAACATCCATCCATCTATCCATCTAAACTTTCACATTTATAATATTAGCATGAAGTATGACTAGCTAAGGCGAATTCGCCCGCGTGAAATTAAAAAAAAAGAATAAAAGATAGTTTATATTACTCAGTGATAACTTAGCTTTTTAATGGTGCAACAATTTTTGTAAACGGTCCAGTAGTTTTTGAATTATTTCAATGCAAACAGAAATCCAAATCTTCCTTTTTATATAGAAGTATAGGTATGCTGTCCATATAGCTACTGGCTACGCTCTTCTTACTCGTAATATTCCTGCTAAATGTATGTGTATTTTTGTCCTACTCACCGACTATCATGTTAGCCTCGTTGTGCGGCAGTTTTGTATCTTTATCTGGACCTTCCGCAGTTGAATCGTTCCCGACGACCTTTATAGTCGTCTCTTCTGGAATGGAATAAAAAAAAATAATAAAAAAGGCACCGTCCGTACATACACGTGTTTTAATGTACCAGAGTTGACACTTTCTTTGAAACATTTTTCAAAACCACATGTCAATTTAAGTAATCTGTACTAATATTTATTATAAAGTGGAAATATTTATATCTTTGTATGTATTGAAATAACTCATAAACTACTGGGCCGATTTTAAAAATTCTTTCACCGTTAGAAAGATAATTTATCAGTGAGTAATATAGGCTATTTTTTCACGCGGGCGAAGTCGCGAGCAACAGCTAGTTGTATTTAAATTAATTGCTCTTTGATTTGAACTCATCTGCAGATATCTTGATTGAAAAGTTACAAGTTATTCTTCTGATAGATTTTTATTTTTTATTTGAACTGTTGCATAAAATAATACACAAACATACATAAAGCGTGTTCAATAATAACTGATAATTTATGCTAATATTTTCCACGAGAATATTCCCATTACACGAGTTTGTTATTTGAAACAATACAATCTCTTGATTATTCAAATAAACAGTAGAATCATAGAGAAATTATATTTTCTTTTAAGGCAAGAATTATAACATACTTATTATCTTTGTCATAAAAAATATGTGTATTGAGAAAGTAAACATTTTCATATTTGCTTGTAAAACAAATATCACCATGTATTCTCATAATTACAGATTTCTTTTAATCATTATTTGCCCTGTTAAAGAAAAATATAAGGATTTAAGTAGTCAACTGTTTAACGTATGATTTTTCATATTCATTAATATTAAAAATGTTGTTTATAATGTCCTTTTGCGTTATTAACGTAGATGCCAAAGAAGCTGTGAATAGAAAAGCCCAAAGGAGCCTCTGTGTTGAAGAGGCTCTTGCTTTACGGCACAAAATTAACAGCGTCCTAAGAAGCCTTCATGTAGAACCAACTAGCTCGTAACGCAATGTTATAAAGGATTTTATTCTCTAGGGAATAAAATTTGAGCCACACATTAATTAATGGAACCACTATATATATTTGTAATGTAAAATAGTGTTGTTCACAAAATTTATCGATAACAGAATTTATTGACGCCGATCTTTACGTAGAATTTTAATTTATACTAATTTTAAAAAAGGTATATTTTTTATGTATTGATATAATTTAAAGATTACTAAGCTGATTTCAAAATTATTTCACCATTAAAAAGCTACATTATGCGTGAGTAACATAGGCTATAATTTTTATCATTTTTTTAATTTCACGCGGGCAAAGTCACAGCAACAGTATTTAAATAAAATAAATAAATAAAACGTAATAAAAACGAAAATCTTGTACAGCATTGTTATAATACAATAATATTTTAATTCGGTAGCTCTGTTCATCCTTAATTTGTTGGTATTACGCTAAAAGACGGCATTATAATCCTCAGGCAATCGCGAAAAACAAATTATAAAAGATTTTTCTTTTTCTTGTACCTTTTTGAATATAATATTAATATGTCCGTAGTAATCATTTAATTATCCCTTTAATTAGTTAATACTCTTTATAGGGGTAAGGAGTCATAAAATATTAACGACAATGACGTAAGGTTCATTAACAGAACAATTCAGAAAGGCAACAATAAAACACGCGATGGCTTTGTTCTTGTATACAAGTGATTAAATAAAATATCACAACTACGTTGTAATTAAAAACGAACAGTGGTATCGAGACTGTAATCAGGGACCTTTTATTCGCAGGGCAGAGTTGCCAACTCGATGCCGTACCACAGTGCTGTACTTTAAATAGTACAGTGTACTTTACTGTTCAGCATAGCCCTGTTCAGTAAAGGGAATAAGGGGGTCGTCAGACGGGGCTCTGCGAAGTGTCAGCGACTACATTTAACGAGTTTAATTACCGCGACTAGTGATGGACGGGTCTATATGTTTATTTAAATAATAGTTTCCCTTTTTTCTCTACACTATCTACCTTAAACAGGAAGGTATTTTCAAATATCTTTTTCTCGATGTTTCTTATTCAATCACTTCAATAAAGTTGTGTATATCTAAACAACTTTTATTAATATAAAAACTGGTCCGTCTTGAAATAACACCATAGATTCTAAACCTTTCCTACTGAAAATGCAATGTCTTAACAACTTATGTTAGCTACTAAATAGAGCACAAAAACAATAATTAAATAAAACTGCCAACTACTCGTAAATTAAGAATAAAAAAATTTTCAATAACATTTTGGAAAAAAAATATTTATCATCTATCGATATTATTAAATTCCTCGCGTACATCACTAGTTTATGTCGGCTTTCATTCGAAGTCTTGAATTATTACTTTCACGTTAAGTTGACGACGCGACGGTGGCGATGTCGGGATCTTTTGTGTAATTGCTTGTAAGCCGGAAATGGGCTCGAATGCGGGAGGGGGTGTAATGCGCCCCGCATTAGTGCCCCCTAAATGTAATCAGATTGCCACAACTTGTGTAGCCGAAATGCGTGACAGATCCGACAAGCAAAATGTATTAGTAACGAAAGTTTACCTAATACTATTTCCTTACAGTAATCACATATACCTGAAAATAAAGTGTCTCTTCCATTAGGGTGAAACTTTTTTTTCGGAGTTTTTCTCTTAGATATAATTATTTCCTTATATTCTTTTTAATTTCATAGATGAAATGTAAATATTAAAAACGTTTTAGAGACGGATTGATAAAACACGAAACATTTTTTAATTGGTATTTACAGCATTCCGACAGAAGAACGAAAAACCTAAGCCTTTTCATAAAATTAAAAACCTCAAATCACAGCTGGACATATTATTTACAATTACTTTCCACATGCTACATTAAGACAATTTAATTTGACAGCGTTATACAAGAACAAAAGGCGAGCGAATTTGTGACACAGAGGTCTGATAACGTAACTAACTGGGGTAGGCTGACTAAGCACTGAGGACGTGCTTATCACGTAATAATTGAAGGTCTTTGTTGTTGACAATGTTTGTAATTATTTAGTAACATTAATTTAGATAATTAACGCTAACCATAAACATTGCACGTTTTAAACAATATAAAATAGCACGAGTACTACATTGAAGATTGAAGAGTTAGGTAGGCACAGTCGAGAAAACTGGCGGCAATCCACCATAAATGTACAATTTGAATACTTTGTAACGAGACACGGAATCAGCCAGAAACATCAATGCAACGCTGCTATAAATGTATCTACGAAAAAAGTCGGTAATTCACAACTAGTTCCTTTTTATTGTCCCTTCACACTCACTGCTATCTAATTTGGTAGGAAGAGGCGGAGTTTGTCTCCTTGCAACGAGTAATGAATAAGGCAATTATTTCAAAATAGACCGCTGATTTACACGATTGTACCTACTTATTTGGAAAACGTACAGCAACCTCTTCGTGCTACGAGTTTGACATCGATGGCTTTGGGTCGAAGTGGAGTGACGTGAGAAATGAAAAACAAAAACGACGTTTTGTTTTTTTTTCATCCGCTATAGATCAAGTAATTTCACGTCGGTTTTATTACTGGCCATAATTTTCTTTTCGTTTTTTGCTCCAATATTTGTATTTACGTTTAATGAATAGTGGTAGACTACCATGTTATCTACCAAAGTCACGGCTACACAGTAATCTTGTGCTTTCATAAAATCGAGATTATCTTTCGAAATCCAATTTGATTTTGATGACATTTATTCACATTTATGGAAGGTTCACGTTGACCAACACCTTTCAATACGGAGAAGTCGTAAAATTTCTCGTTGACCGGTCATAAAATTATACATAAACATGCTATTTAAATGTGTCCCAAAAACAAAATACAGGTGACTTTTTCATCGTTTGTCTCATCACTGATTTCAACTTATTCTAAACGTAAAAAAATTAAAAATCAGTCCATCGATCTTATTTTTAAATATACTTAAAGAATTTTAGTAAAAGAAACAAACTGGCCATAAGTAAGGTCATTTTCTAAAAAAAAAGACGTAATAAACTCCGTCTGGCGAAAAGACGATTTTTGTGTGAAGCTAAATTTAAAAATAGAACGCCAGCTGACGCCAATTCTGTTTGTATACTTTTTAATAACACGTTATGATCAAACAAGATTATTGCATGATTTTATTTAAATTAAATTATTAATATTTAAGCAATCTTATAACAAATACTAATATTGTATGATGCATTAAAAGCATGTTTATTGTATTTAAAATTTATGTCAATTGTTCCGATAACAAGCATTGTCGATTCCAATTATCAAATTATTCAAAGCGTAACAAGATAAAGTTTATTTGCATTTTACGTGTTCATTACAAAATGTGTTTATCAAATTGAAATGACAAATCTTAAATAACGAATTGTTTATTTATTAAAATGTAAAGTATTTTTAATTTTACGATATAAAAAAGTAAGTAAAAAAAGTAATCAACTACAAATAGGTTAATGATTATCTTTATTGAAATGCAATATTTTTTTTTAATTTAAAGGTCATTTAATAGGTCCTCTTTACATGTTTTATCATATTTTTATTATTATTATTAGCTGAAACGCTTACCTACAACACGAACATAAAACACTATTAATCACTATAAATTACTAAGACATCAAATGAATAAATAACATTACTCAAATTAAGTGTATTTTGTTAACTCACTTCGTGTGTCGACACGTGGTTTCTTGGACCAAAAGTGACAGAAACGTCGTTCGAACGAAGTGGAGCTATGGCGACTGACCGCGCGAGATATTATGCGACTAAATACGGAATACCATTGTATTTACTGAAACGCGGTTGAACCAAAAGCCCTAAGTGTTAAAGTAATGAAATTATACAAACGAATTAGAACTCTATCCCGTTGAAATAAGGCTTATGTTTTGCTTACAATCCCAAGCCTTTAAATGAAACTTGCGAATTATGCTATCTCGTTCTTTTGCTGGTTATAATAAGGATTTTGAAAGAGATAGCTATAGCTTTATAAAAAAGGTTGCTTTTATTTAAATTGTGAAAATGCATGGAACCTAAGACATTTAAAAACTTACTCGTATTATGCACTTATATTATTTTTGTAGTATTTTAAATTATAACATTGTGGAGTATTTTAAAACTTGTAGTAAAAAAAAACATACTTAAAAATGTGAATTTGCTCCAAAAGAATGGTATACATTAAATATTTTACTGGCGAAGTTAACTTAATTTTATAAATCACATACCTATACATAAAGGGACTGTCCCATTCCATCTATTATCTTCAAAGCACCATAGCATCAGCGCCCTCTGTTGCGTATCCACGAAAACAAAGTTCACATTGCACATGTAATGCGCAACATCTTCATTGCGGTACACCAGGTATCCATCAGATGGCGCTGGTAACGTCACACATCCCAAACCTAAAAATATTTTTTCTTAATCTCATAAAAACATTTACGTAAACAGTAAAAAAAAACTGCATTTTTAAAATCGCGATTCGTGCACAAAAGAAAACGTCGTCGATTTAAAATGTTTAGTGCCATCTAGTGGCTATTACTAGAACGAGTGATAGCCAAAAATTTTAATGGTACTCAACAGATGGCGTTGATAAATTTAGCAAAAATGCAAACCCTTAAAGTTCATTACTATTACACAACAGATGGCGTTAAAAGTACACTACATTTTCAAAACTACAAATTTCACCTTACACTACTAAAAGTAAAGATCTTTTCGTTACATCTTACAAAGAAAAATATTATAATCCTATAAAATAATATTAAAACGTTCATTTCTTACTCTTATAATGTAGCAAAACGCCTCTCTTTGGAAAGGCGCCTTGAGATTTTGCTTCTACTATAACCTCTAAGGCATTCGTCGTGGAAGTCAACCTCAGAGGCAAATCCACCTGTTCACAAGTGGACAGTAGCGACTCTCCATTCGAGTCAACCACAGACACGAAATCTGTACACTGTTCTTCGAATGGACCAATACCTGGAATATAGAAAAATCATAAAAAACAACGAAAAAAGGATGAAATTGGTGTGCCATCGCATTGACGTAATAATCGCAGTCAAAATAATCAGATGGTACGTCTAACACCGCATTTAACCTTTCTTTTTTTAAAAAAAAATGGCACTTCGATACATAAATGTTCGCCACCCCTGATATAGTCTATAGAGCCTAAACAACAGGCTAGCAAAGTATTTACTCACTTCTTAAGCTAACATCCAGTAGAGAGATTCGGATGCGTTGTTCAGGATCAGCTTTGAGCCGCCACCGGCACTCGTCTCCTACGTAGAAGTGCGGGTACCCTGGTGTCCGTATGTAGCCTTCGCTGTCTGGACCCGACGCCGCAACGAACACCTCCCGGTTGCAGTAATGTACTGCTAAAGAGTCTGTAATTGACAGTGAACATTATTTTTTGCTTCATACATACTAATAGTTTGTAATTTGATATTACGTTATTTTCTGAATGTGCTCTCAATCTACAAAAACCTATAGTAATTGAAAATAACGCCATCTATGTATTTAAAAAATAACTAAAGTATAGTAAGCGAGCTTATTTTTAAAGTAAAGCACTTTAATTTTTTATTACTTTATAAAGTAATCAGTTAATTTCTTTACGTAGTTTTTTAGTAATTATAAAAATAAATTGAAATGCCTTATTTCAGACCCTTTAGCCTTTAGGCTTCGCATTGATAGGTTCGTGATTCGCGAACTCATTCGAGGATTGAACATAATCCGCATAGCGATACCGAAATCATGTTCCCACAAAATAAATCCTATAATAATGACCAGTACCGTGCAAATACTAGTAAAATATCTTTTTTTTTTCTGGTGAATGAATCGCACAAAATCGTTTAGATATTATGTTTTGTTGTATAAATGCATCAACATTTATAGAAACAAAGAATAGACGTTAAATGTTTCCACGGACATTTAACTACACCATAAACAAGACGGAAGCGTTTCATCCACTCACCGCATTGACGTGATTACTAAAATGTCCAAATTATAATGCCAGTCAACGCACTTCTAACGTGTCAGTCGTAAAAAAACACAAAAGTAACATTAAGATCGCGCGCACACATTGACTAAACTATCGCACAACTATTTAGTCGTCTTTTGATTCCTATGATCTTATATAGAGGTGTGTACTTGATTTTTTGACCGACTTCCCAAAAGAAGGAGGTACTCAATGCGTCGATATGTTCTTTTTTTTATGTGTGTTACGGCATAACTCCGCCGCTAGTGGACCGATTTTGATAATTATTTTTTTATCCGAAAGGTAATGCTTGTAGGTGGGTCCCATTTTTTGTTTGATTTTTAGTTCTACAACTAAACAGTTGAATTGGCTGCGAAACATGCGACAATCGCAGAACAGTTGTGAGATTTTTTAATCAAAGGTGTGCGCCCGCTCTAAGGTATCATTAACATGGTTATTATTGTTTCCTATAATATTCTGAAGTTTTTATTTTTAACGAAATGTTTTTTTATACTGAAACCTCATAAGTTTAAACTACAAACATATGTAACCTTTGCTTAAAACAGTACTTCAAATTAGTCGCTTTCTCTTTACCATCCTTTTCTTATAAGGAGAGGTTGGGTAGGGGAAGTGGATTTGACGGTGGAGGAGATGCATAGGAAGGGGAATTATCCTCTTTATGTACATACGTCTCCTCCTCCGTCGTATAAGGGTAGGCAACGCATCTGCAATTGCGGATGTCTATGAGCAGCGGTCGCTTCACCATTTTGGCGGATTCTAGTGGCCGCTTGCTCGTTTGCCACATAATGTTATAAAAAAAATAGATGTTAAAGAATTACTAAATAGGACTATGCGAAAAGTAATCGATAAAGTTCAAATACTATACATAATCAAGCATAGCGCACTTTGTCAAACAAGATAGGGCACGGCGGCAGCGTGGATTATCTGATAGGAATAAAGACTAAATTCTATACGGATTTAGTACCGTAAAGAATTTATCGATAAACATTCATCCGTGTAAAATTTTATCTTTTTTTTAATCGAAAATAACTACAAAATACTGGCCAGTTACATGAGCTTTAACGTTTATGTGTGTACGTATCTTTATCTCAAAAATGAACATCTCATAATGTTTTAACTAAATAAAGTCATAATATTCATAAACTTTTTCACACAAATTACACATCAAAAATTAGATAATAATGAGGCGTGTAATGTGTACAGTCGTTATAATGGTTACACAGTTACAACGTAGAAACGAAAGCCAAGGTCATTCTGGCCACGTCCCTTACACATACACACTAGATAAACATCTATTTTTATACAGTCGCTTAAAAAAACACAGACTTTCAGATCTGCATACTTGAAGCACATGAAAGTTCATGACAATTCACTTGTTTATGTCACTTTTTCTTGCATTGTCAAGTATTGTTTTTATTTAAGAAGAAGCCTTCTCCCGCGACCCCGTCTTTGTGGAATTAAAACAAAAGTATATGTTCTTCCAGACTATCCTCTATATCTATACTAACATCGAAATCTATTCACCCGTTTAGGCTTGAAACTCTAACAAACATCCATCCATCCATCTAAACATTTGCATTAGTAATAATAATGTAAAGTTTTACATGAAAAAGCATTTTAACGACAACTTACATCCATCTTCTTTATTAATCCAAAAATGTATAATATCACTTTAGTAAATAGATACAGACCCTTGATTATGAGTCATCGATTTTAACTTCAATATCCGATATGTATTAGAGATCTCATTTCAGATATCGCTTTAGTTCCAGCGATACCATTTGTCAGGGTCGTGGGAGAACTGTATCGAGGATAATAGAAAACTTATTCGAAACATAAATGAAAACAGTAACACCGAAATATTTAACTAGCTTTCGCCCGCGACTTTATCCGCGTGGATTAAAGAAAATAAAAAGTGAGTAGCCTATGTGTTCTTCCAGATTATCCTTTACATCTATACCAAATTTAATTGAAATCCTAAATGGCTAGGCTAACTCTAACAAACATCCATCCATCTAAACTTTCGCATTTATAATATTAGTAAATATCGGCGCAAAATTTTCTCCCTAATAATATTTACTTTTTGCTAAATAAAAACTTCTAGTAGTATAGCGAAAGCTAGAGGAAGAAATAGTGTTTATAAAACTTTTTATTAGTGTTGCTGATCCAACCTATTTACTTAATAAAAAATACATAGTTTAACAACCCACATTTTACTTGTAAATACAGTAATTTCGCGTGTCAAATAACACGTGCCTACTTGCCCTTCAAAGTGCACTCCATTATCAACACCCCAATTTTGAAATATTTGGGGTAAAATAACAATTTATTGGCAACTTTGTAAACCAGGTTAGATAAAACTATACCATGGTGTTTATTTGTAAGATAGTTCTATATTAAAGGGAGGTCTGGGTAATATGGTTAGATAGAATAATAGTATAGCACGTGGGAACATGGGATTGTTTAAGCTTCGATTCCAACCGTTTATTTGCAGATTTATAACATTTCAAATATTATAGTGCGGCCTATATTTTTTGTGATTTTACAAGAAATCAATGTTTGTCTTTTTATAAATGTCTAACCCGATATTTACGTAAAGTCTACTTCAAATATATTCACTCTATCATATAATAAATGTTTTATTTATTGTTAACTAGCCTTGGCTCGCGACTCCGTGCGCGTGGAATTAAACAAAATAACTATGTGTACTTTTAGATTTAAACTACTCTCTACAACTATGGCAAATTTCATCTGGATCCGTTCCCCAGTTTAGGCTACAAACTCTAACAAACAAACATCCGTCCACCTAAACTTAAGCCTTTATAACATTATTAGTAAAATTAGTAATTAGTAAGATTATGATATCAAACAATTGTTACAATAAATTATATGCAAGTCAGCAAAGCGCCTGGTGTTAACTAGCTAGCAATAAATCAATCCCTACATGGGTTACCCTGGTGTTTCACACGCGGGTAGATTATCCTAAATGTGGAATCAATCGGCACGTGCCTTGGGAATTGCGTTTAGTATCCAAGAGGGATACAATGACTATTCCAAAAAGAAAAATGCAGAGTTAGTATCTATTTTAAATGAATATTTATATGAAAAATAGTATTTACATTTTGTTATATTTACGAAAAATTACTAAAACCAAATTATTAAATCTTGAAAACCTCGTCACAGTTTAAATACAATTTTAACATACGACATTCTACAATTATTTATCAAAGAGACACAAACAAAATAAATTGTCCTTTATTTCATTGTAGCAGCTGTTTACCATGTACACGATAACATCAAATTCACAGAAACATGGATTATCCCGAATTTACGGTGCAATTAACAGCGAATACGCTGCAAACATACTTATTTGGCAATAAACTTTGGATCCCACTCATTACTGTGGAGCGTCAGATGTCCCGATCCAACGCCGCCATGACACATCTGTCACATTCCAACGCACAAATCAATTTCACGCCCTCTTTGACATCTGCTATGTAATATATGGGCCCTGAATACGGCCCTGAATGGCCCTAAATTACAAAGTTTCTACGGGTTTTAACACTTTCCAAAAACATTGTAAATGCTAGAAGCCTTAAAAATATACGCGGTATAAAGTTAAACTTAGGAATACACTTAAAAAAGTAAAAAAAAAACTTTTAAAAACTTAGACCCTAAAAGAAGATATGAAGATACTCACCATCAAAGCAAGCGTATTTAATAGACACCACTCCAGGTGGCCAAGCCACCGCTGGTGGGTAGTCTTCTTCCAGCAGGAAATTGCAGTGGTTGACTCCCGTACACCTGGAAACAAAATGAAATATTTTAAACCTCCAAACCTCATCTAAATGAGACTCAAGAAACAAATGACATGAGTATTCAAACGTCAATTTGTATGTGCAACGTGGGCGAAATGTTAAGGTTACTCGTGTATTTACACTTGCTTCTGCACTAAGCTTCTGCTGTGCCGATGATCACATGACGTCACGCGTTAACTGACAGTATTGCCCCTTAGACAAAGTAACATTCGATTATCACCATCGCCGATCGAAAAGTCAAAAATGTATGGAACTATGGAACGAACAATAACATTCAATAAGTCACGTGCTTGTCTTGTATTGATTCCTATATATTTTGTCACATTTTGTCGATTCTCCAATTGACATCGCTAATCGAAAGTCACTTTTTTTTATAATACAAGATGGCAAACGAGCAAGCGGCCACCTGAAACCACCAAAATGGAAAGCGACCGCTGCCCATAAACATCTGCAATTGCAGATGCGTTGCCTACCCTTAATTGACGGAGGAGGAGACGCACATAAAGAGAACATTTCCCCTTCCTATGCATCTCTTCCACCATCAAATCCACTTTTCCTTCCCATCCTTTCCTCTTAAGAAAAGGGTGGAGAGGGAAAGGGACTAAAATTAGTTCTCCGGTACCACACTCATCAGACGAAACGCGGAATTGCTTCCACTTCACGCCTGTTTTCTGTGTGGTCGTGGTATTACACCGGGCGAGCCGGCCCATTCGTGCGAAGATGTTAAAGCGGGCTCTACCATTGTTAAAACTCGTCACTTTGTCTAAAGGGGTTGAGTAGACAAGCATGGACGGTCAGTGTTGGTAAGAGTATCGGCAAACCTACGTACGGTTGTGTTGATATTCGTTTGAAGTCAAAGACAGATTTAAAATTTATTTATCTTAACATAAATTAACATTTTATTACTATCAATAAAACCACGTTTATGCATTCGATACATTAACTTCCATTATAATTTATGATTTCCAAATAATTGTTTAATGGCGGTTCATGAAAATTTTGCTGTTTGTTTTTATTAATAACAATGTTAAACATATTTTTATTACACAATAATATAATCTAAAGTACTCAAATACGTATACAACTTCGATAGTCATCAAAGAATTTTTATGTAATAAAATTATGAGTACCTGAGTATTAAAATAAATTTAATTCCGTACAGAGATCAAAGCATCGAAATTTATGTGTACTCGAGATCAAAGCTGTACTTCCAGGTGTATTACTGTCTATAGATATGTTCATAAATTAATACATCCTGTATAATTCAAAGACTTAATAAATAAACTGAAAGGTAAACAACGTTTAACACTTGCAATGCTCTTGAATAAACCTACAAGCTCTCTATAACACCTTAAAATTACAGTTGCAGTCAAGGTGTTAAAAACAAATAATTGCATTAAATCATTCCAAAGACAAGTCTTGTTTTCCATTCTTACTTCAGGTAAGAATAAAGTATATGCATTTCTCTGTATTTCACATTTAGATAGTAACCTCCACTTTTCAAATGCAGTAACATGAGAAAGCACTTGTCAATGACTACATGTATCCCCTACCAAGGCACTTTGGCACGTCTGTTAGAAAAGTTATATAACTTTTTGTAACATAAATTGGCAAGTGAGTAAAGAAAAAACCAGGAAAATGTTCTATAGAATTGTTAGGTTGCAAGAATACAAGAATGGCGGTATATTTTTTTCTTCAACCGCACTCTTAACTATGCAATCATGTCCTTGACCTGAGTTTCCAAGTAGCGTTGCCTAGCAACGTAGTTGGATAGGAAATTAATTTCCTTTGCATTTTAAAGGTCAGACGAAGTCTTTATGTATTTCAGGGACAAAAGTATAGAACAGAAAATGCATTCAACATTTCGTGAAAGAACGCAATTAGAGCAAAACTAACTTCGTTTTAATAGCTTGTTCGAAAGCTTGCTGATGACTAGCTTGCGTTTGTTAAGCTTTAAGCTTACAGCTTTCTTTTCCTTGGTTTAAAGTTATATATTTAAATGTAATATGGAAGATTTAACTTTTATTTTAGTTATCGGAGGCTATAAGGATAAATAAAGCTTTTATTAATATTTTGTTGCTTAGCAAATTCCTGTTTTTTTCATGTTATTAATAATGTATGAACTTACGTCCAACATAAAGTACAATGTCTTCACAAATTACTTACAAGTTCAGTTCCGTGACCACTCGTGCGTTAGCTTATTGGCATCTAGTCAATGTAACCTTTTCACTGCTACAAGGACATAAAATGTTATTGAGGTCAATACAATCAGTTATTTAGGTCAGATATGATAATGATTATGACGTTATAATACAAATATATTTATTTATCGTTTTATTTGTAGATCTTAGTTTACAATAAGAATATTTTTATTACATTTACCATTTTAATCTTATAAATCTAAATGCTATCTTTTTGATTTAGGGATACACGATGAGGGGCTCTACCCTTATCATTTACAGCCGGTCAATTCCTATCACGACTGAACCTTTTTGGTACTTTATGATATTTATTATACTAAGAGAAAATGAAGGGGTTATTGAATTTGGATGGCTATAAAGGTAGAGGAAGACCGAAGAAGGTATGGATGGATTCTGTGAAAGAGGATATGCTTAAGAAAGGAGTGGATTCAGATATGACGGCTGATAGAGATGTATGGAAGAGCAGCACATACTGTGCCGACCCTCTGTAAGGGATAAGGGCAAGTGGATGATAACCATACTAATAGAAAAGTAAATAATTTTAGGTTCTGTTTAATACTTTACGATTTTGTTAAGATGTAAATAAACCTCAAAAGAAAGAATGCAATTTGAATATAATATTTGCAAGAGAATAGATAAGATTTTCTTGTATTTCTACCGAACCATCTATTTCTAGATATTTCAGAGTGCATACTTGTGTAAACTTAAGTGACAAGGGTTAAGCTACAAAAGGCTTTAGAATAGAAGAGAAACAGTTGCCGGTTTAGTTCTAAAAATAAATTCAATCTCTTATTTGCTACCAACCTGACCTCTGCATATGTCACAAAATGGAAACTTCGCAAGTAACCCTTGATTAGATAATGTTCTAAAATTAAAAAGTTGTTTTGCTTAATTAATATGTGACTTACTTCTCAAAACAATTGAATATCATAAGACCTATTACGTCTGCTTTGAATGTTATCAATAAATAACACACTAATAGCCCACTCATGGGAACACGTTGGCAGTCATATGGTTACTGGCAGAGGGGTTAGAAATTTCAACGTTACTAAATTTAATTTCTCACGCCTCATTAGTGGTTTTTAACATGTAATTAATCAGGTGTTAATGAGGTTTTGAGTCATGAAAACTTAATATTAAAATCTATAAGTTGTGAGAGTTTGAATGGATGGATGGATGGTTGTTTGTTCCTACGCTCTAGAACCGTTCATCGAAATTCGCTGAAATTTGGCATAGATGTTGACAACTTGAAAGAACACATGGACTACTAATGTTTCTTTTAATTCCGACTTCGTCGGCGTGACAGTTAGTTATTTAGAGCGGGTGCACACCTTTGACTAAACGAGCGCACACTGTTGGCCGATTGTCGATTGTTTCGCAGTCCATTCAACTTAGTTGCACAACTAAAAATCGAGTAGTGTGCGCACCTCCTTATAAGCTTATAGGAATCAAAGCGCGACTAAACAATTGTGCGATAGTTTAGTCAAATGTGTGCGCGCACTCTGCGAATGATTTATCGGATAATTGAAATATAATAGTTTCAACGTTTTTTTCGTGGAAAACCAGAGAACAAATGATTTATTTCAGTGTTGTCAACTGTCTAGGTTAGATTCCTGGAAATGTTCCAAGCGCAACGTGTCTCGTCTGACTTCAAATGTGACACATTTCGCGGATTCTCAAAACATTGTCTCGACGATCTTTTATCATTTTAAACATAATTCTAAATAGCATTAAACACTTTTTTACATTTATTAAAACACTAGCTTTCGCCCGCGACTCCGTTCGCTTAGAAAAAAACAAACAATAGGAAGTAGCCTTTGTGCTCTTCCAGACTATTCTCTACATCTATGCCAAATTTCATCAAAATCCATTAAGTATTGGGCCACAAATTATAACAAACACCATCTAAAGTGTTACTCTGTATTTAAAACGCAAATAGCAAAGTTTTTTTTATGAATAGGATCACAAAAAGTTTCTGTAAATATTTAATTCAATGTATTTCGGAGGTTCAATATTACGCTGGAGGGCATAATCCCTATACCTTAATAAATATATTTTATGACTCCATAGCCCCTAGCTCTACTTTCCATAAAATGCAATATTATCATAAAACGTACGTACAATATGAAAACTGATGTGAAATATTTCTCTATCACGCCCTGTAGACTCATAATACATGAGATAGGAGGGTTTGTATTGTCAAGTTTGAAGTTAAAATAAGATGTTACGTATAATTATATGCTACTTTCTATAATTTAATTTATTAAATACAAGATAAGGACAACATCACTTATACTGGGTTGCTGAAGTTTCTATTTATTTATTACTAGCTGGGAACGCGACTTCATCCACATAAAATTATAAAAAAATCATTTTATTGTTCACATTTGTCAAATCATCAATTGCAGATGTCCAAATGAGATGACATGATGCCGAACCATGGTAAGCTTGCTTCCTTGATGTTGGCAACAACTTATGGTCTCTTTCCGACATTAGGTTTTTATCCAAAATAATTACCCCTAAGTTTAACGGCGTGAAAATATATAGACTAAAGCGTGACGTAAGTGTAGGGCTTTTTATTAAAAAAAGAGTTATTCGAAAATATACAAAAAAGAAGTGTGTGTTTACGCTTTATTATAATAGTAGAAGATTAGCTTATTATTAGTATTAGGTTGAACTTCTAAGATATAAAACTCAAGGTAGGCTCGGAAACGCATTTCCATGAAGTTATGAAACCAATAACAGTAACGAACAGTTAAAAGCTGGGATACCGGCCATTAATTTG